CAAAAACAAATTTTCAGTAGTAATTTTTTAGCGAGAGAAATAGGGATTCACTATTATCATAAGGTTTCAGCAATCCGATTTTTTTTTTTTAGCGGGAGCACCAAGGTTTTTTTTTAGCGGCAGCACTAGAGTTTCGTCATTTTGAATTTGGGCTTCGTCTTTCGTCAGCAGAATTTGAGGTTTCGTCTTTCGTCAGGGGTTTCGTCATTTTGGGGCTTAGGTTTCGTCAAGCAAAAAAGGTTTCGTCTAACAACTATAGGCTGGATTAAAACTGTGAATGTAACATTCGACCTGGTCGAATCTCAATCATTTGACTAGTGGGAAATAAACCTACCCAAAAACCTTTCCATTTGTACAGTGCCTTCTTTGTCGAGAAGCTTTTTAAGTTTAAATGAGTGAAAAATGGAATGGGTGTATTCATTGATAGATCGTATTTATTGCATTCATATCAGGACATCAATTATTTGCTTAAAAGCGTCTGAAATTAAAAATAAAGGGCTATTTTTTGGATCAGATAAAATTGATGAGGATTCATTTTTTATGATCGATATGTAAAGAACGTAAGGTATTGCTTGAACACCCTTTGCCAATGAAGAAAAAAGTTGGTTTGTACCTCGCTGATTTTCATCGAAAATGGTTAACTCTGAAATTTTTTAGCCAATCAGATCGCTTATCAGTCTATTTATTAAGAAACCTATTCACGTTTTAATGTTTGTTTATTAATCACTAAGAGCTTAACAGTCATACGTAATATACACACTATGGCGCTGCTTTGGCTTATTGTTTACGAGCTCATGAACAGAGGGATTAATGGTTTCATCTGCAGCTGCAGCATATATATTCATATTATTCATACATTTTTTTAATTCTTGAAAATTTTTCATTTTATAACTCCTATAAATGAAGATTTATGCTCTTATTATTTTGCTTTTCTTTGCTATCAGCATTATAGATGCTGTTCCTATCACTTCAAAATCAAATTCTGTTTCTCTTGTCAGTAAAGACGTTAAACTCTATAAAGATTACTTAGCGCTTAAGTACGAACCTTTAATCCGAAGTATTCATGGCTCCGATCAAGATGTCCTTAATAAACTTGAATCTGCTAAAAAACGATTATCTGGAAGTGCTAGTCTTAAAATGTTGAATAATGGATATTGTGTGCAAATTATTATAGGTGGTCAAAAATTTAGAGTACTTATCGACACAGGAAGTGCTGATCTTTGGGTAGTATTTTTTTTTTCTTTAACGTTATGCCGTTCAAAGTCGATTATTAGTTGTTTGACGTCAAAGTTTTGACTCATCACAAAGGAGAAGGAAGTTTTAAGCACATATGCCACATTTAAACCCCATTTGTAAACCTTAGTCACATGATTATTGAGATTATCTTGCGTTATAATTGGCTTGTTTAATTTGAAAATTAAAAAACTTTGAACGGTCTTACATTACCTTAACAATGAAAATATCACTTATATCTGAATTATTTTAAAAATAAGATTCCTTCTGTGAACTGTACGTCACTTGCTTGTCGTAATCATAATCGATTCGACGAAAATTTATCGAAAACATTTACGTTGATCGGTACTTCTTTCGATATGGAATACGGAAATACCGAAACTCCTATGCTCATCGGTGTTACTGCAAAAGACAATATTTTAATAGGCGGGATAGAATCTGTAGGCCAAATGTTCGGTCTTACACTTTATGAAGTCGAATCATTTAATGAAATGACGTTTGATGGTATTTTGGGTATGAGTTTTGAAGAAAATAGTGCTCAAGGAGTCGCACCACTTTTTTCAAACATTGTTAAACAAAAAGCTGTTAAGAATCCGTACTTTAGTCTTTATCTTCAACGATCAAATGATAAGGATGATATGGGAATACTAACTCTTGGTGATGTTGATACGACAAAATTCACTGGAAATTTTAATTATTACAAAGTATCTACAGTTGAAGGTAAATACAAGCATTGGATTATTGATCTGGACGATGTTTCTATTAATGGCAATAAACTTGACTACGGAGAAAGAAAGGTTGTACTTGATACTGGAGGTAATGGTGTATTTATGTCACCTGATGACGCTATAACTTTTCATAAGTACATTACCGGATCATATCAGGATAGTGAAGGAATTTTTCATGTACCATGTAACATAACAGACCAAGTAGCATATATATTTGGCGGAATTAGTTATTATTTTGAGCAATCCGACTTAATTCATGAATCTGCCGACTATGATTGTATTTCTATAGTTCAAGAAAATATTATTGATACATGGATTATTGGATATACATTTTTAAGAAATGTCTACTCTGTATATAACATAGAAGATTTTACGGTTGGATTCGCTCCAGTATCTAAATAGTATAGTTAATGATTTTGGATTAATTAGAATATTGGTGTCTAAAGTACTAGTAATAATTAATAAATTTATTAACTAATTATGTTTATTTTACTTACTAGATAAAATTACAAATATATAATGATAAATTATTACTTGTTTCATAATAAACTAGATTTTTTAAAATGAAAGGACTTATTTTTCTATTAAAATACCCAATAAGAAGATTTAGCGCATCCTCAAAAATCATTCACCGCATAGGAGGACACACGTAATTATGCTGTAAGACCTTTGGCATAAAGTAATATCTAATGAGTATAAAGCGGATCATACTTATGGATCATGATTACATATATCAAATATTTCGGCATTAATATTAACTTGCATTATTTTTTCAATTTAATACTACCGAAGTATTTTTAATAAAGCGACGATCAAAGTTTTTATAATGTAACGTACGTAGGATACTTTTGCAAGGAGCCTCATGATGTCATCCAATTATACCAAGTATTGGAAGTACAGGGTAACCTGTTACAATACAAGTCTAAGAACTCATTATTATAGATAAAAGTACAGCCATACCGAATTTGATACATTAAAACCTATAACCTCCAAAGTCAGAAGAAAGTTGGCTAGTTGTGATAGTATACAGACTTGAGATACTTATCAAATTAAGTAGAGGCAGCTGCATGGCTTGAGATATGAACCTCCGACAAGTATACCAAGTAGGAGTATAAGGCACACCAAATTGAAAGCAATAAGCACTTACCTGAACACAACATCAATTTGGGAGTTTGAGATATTAGATAAGTGGGTAAAGCAGAGGACATATGAAAGTTAATTAGAGATGAGTAGAGATATATAAAATCTAGATTAGCTATATAGTGGAGGTATGGAAGACTTTGGTAGGCTTGGTCACAGATAGTAATTAAGTTTAAGCTGAATATATTTGAATAGTATAAAATTGGGAGGGTTTTTTTTTGAAGTTAAAAAAGATCTTTGACTAGTAATATTTTATTAGATAATAAGAATATTACAATTGTAATAAAAGTACAATTAGCTATATATGCACTTTTGTGCTTAATTTAAATAGTTTGCCTGAAGATGCTTGTACCTGTAGCCCAACTAAAGCAATCTATTTAAACTTTTAAACTTCTAATCAAAACTGTGGTCTATTCTACATATATTTAATGCAGATGTAACTTACTATATATTTGGTAACTTTTTGTAATACTATTATATTTAGCAGCTATCTTAGAACACTTTACTATTCTTGAAGTAAACCTAACAGAATAGTTCATACCTCATACATGTTTATATCTAAATATTTAGTGACTTCTTTCTAACTAGTACCTGTTATGCTGCTATTACTGTACTTTTAAGATACTGCTATAACAAATTCATATTTCAAGCTACAATCTTTCTAATTAGTTATCTATTATTTATTTTTTGCTCTTGTAAGCTTTACAACAACTACAATACCTATATTCAGTTTTATTTTTTTTCTAGATTATTTACTGGTCTTTTTCTTACTTTCTGCCAGTAGTTAGAAAAGTTGATCTGCTTAGGCTTTAGATACCTCATAATCTTTCTTCTCTTAGTACATACTTTCAAAGTATATATTTTTTTCCTTTGGTGTATCTAAAACCTAACAGCTAAGTTAGTATATCTTTCATTTAAGGATCTGATTGTTCAGCTCTCTGATTTTGATTTTTAGTTCCAAATTTAGCCTTCTTGTAGCACTATCAAAGATCACTACTACTTCCCAACTTAGAACTTTTCAAATAGATTTTCAGTTATTCTAGTCTTTTAGATTTATTTCTATGCTAAAGCTTTTATTCTAAATACAGTCAACTCTTTAAATGTATGTCCTTTAAGTGCAGGTTTTTTCTATTTGTATAAAAATAGTCTGGTCTCAAATCAAGACTTATAAAATAAGTGTATATTCTATATTCTCTAAATACAGATTATTTTTAAATTATATATATAAAAATATTCTTTCTAGAACAATTTTGACGCTCACCAGAGGTGAAATTCACTGGGTGCTGTATCTCAAAAATGTACTAAGTAAACAGGATCGGGTACTCTAAGTAAAAATGTTCAGAACCCCCTGAAAATCTCATAAAAACTAAAATTGGGATCTTTTATTAGCTTTATGTTATTTTATATAAAAAAAAATTCTTAATACTCTAACTCTAACTCTAACCTAACCCTAACAATTCTTAGGCTGGTAAATTTCACCCCAGTGAATTTTAAATAAATTCTTCTTTCTAAATACATCTTTAATATATTAACCAATCAAATTTAAGAATATTTATTTAGATAATAAAACAATTAAATTTAGGGATTTGCTATTGCCACCCCTATTTTTGCTAATGCCACCCCTCTGCAGAATTAACTTTTTTTTTAAATTTTGAGCAAAGATATCTTGACACCCACCAAACCAAATTCGATGATTTTTT